GGCGGCGGCTCGGGGAACAGCGAGTTTGGCGGCTTCCACATCCAGGCCGCCTAGTTCTGACGCAGCCCCACCACGGGCGGTTAAGTGAGGAGCGAGGCGGCATCCGTGGTGTAGAGGAACAGGGACGCGCGGTCCATCCGTGCCGTCAGATTGTTCGTATCGTATGCTGTGGTCAGCCCAGTGCAGTGTCGACAGTGCTCCGTGCCACCGCGGAGGAGTGAAAGACGCCAGGCTCCAGATCCGTGCGACGTGGGAGGTGAGCCTTTGATGGCCTGGGAACGGCAACGGCTTTGTCCTCGCTGCCTCCTCTGGTTACTTGGAGACCTCTTTCTTCCTCCTCCATGCATTGATGGCACCTAGATGCTGCAGCTCCACTCCAGGAAGGTGAGCGCTGCATTTGGACGCCTCACCGCTTGCTTGCTGTGTGCACGCCTCACAGGCCAGAGCTAACAAGCTGCATCCAGCTGCTTGTTGCATATATAGTTGATGCTTGTTCATGTAGCAGAAGCAAGAGCTCTCAGGCAAAGCAAGAGTGTGCTGTAGAAGCAAGACTGTTTTTAAAAGTAAGACTGTTTTGAACACATCGAACCATGGCATAAAGTTTTTTTTTTTAACGACTCGCACGAGACGGTGCGAAGTTCTATTGATAAAGCAGGAAAAAATTACATAATTACAACCATGGAAGATCGTAACCAGGAAAAACGAAAAAATATACTACCACCCACACACCGATAGTGTCAACATACAAGTCCAGGAGCAGGCTAGCACCGGACCGGCCGCCGCTAAGCGTGACTAACCGCCGCTAGGCCAACAACGGAACACAGCCAAGATCGCCCAAAACTTGACCCTTACAACCAACGCAAAGTCCAACTCTATCCAAGTCTTAAGGATATAGGGAGAGGGGGTGAGAGAGAAGATGGAACACCTCTTCCCCTAAGCCCTCCGACGTGGCCAACTTCTAAAAACTAAGACGCCACCACAAGAGGATGAGAATCTAGAGCGTGCTTGCACCAATTGCTCGGGTGGTTTCGGCGAGGGGATGCCTAGACAACGTCTCCAAGGAGATAAGCGACGGAACACCGCCGCCGCCATCCACCAAGGTCTCAAAAGGGCAGAGAATGACCTTTCGCCCGGCAACCACCCTTGAGGGGTGAGACGGCACGACAACGCCCTCAGGAGGGGGAATGACACTCGAGCACCATCGTTGTCGGTCCGAGCAAGGACGAGCTGGGTTTTCACCCGCCGTCCACCACCTGCCAATCTACCACAGATACACCAATGCTCCACCACCATCTAGACCTCCGCCGGTGCGTGGGCACACTGCACCGACGCCCTCCCCCGGCCAGTCCCCACATGCCACCACCTCACCGGGCTCCACCTCCACCGACATCACCTCCCGCTGCGCAGCCATCACACACTGGCCGTCCTCGACGCCGCCGGCCACGCCTACACGCGTTCCACCGTTGCCGGTCGCAACTCCTTCACCGTGTCGGTTGTCGGCTACGTCTCCCAGCCTCGCCGGCCATCCACAGCCACCGGCGCCCGTGCATGCCGCCACATCCGCCACGGGTGGCGCCGCCCATGCCGGCCTCCCTGCAGCCGCCGGCACCACCCACACCAACCTCCCGCTGCAATGGCGACGCCCACCGACGCCTCCACGGTGCCCTGACTGTTGCCGCCGGTGCCATCCTCGCGCAGCCGCTAGCTCCGTCGCGCTGTCCACGCCCTCTTTCCGTGCCGTGTCGTCCACAGCTTTTCACCATGCCGCGCCGCGCCGTCCCCACCCTCGCTGCGCGCCGCCGCTCGCGCCAGCGCTATGTTGGCTGCTAAACGGCCAGATCTGAGCGGGGGCATCGGATCTAGAAGCGGGAGGACCGGATCCACTGCCTCCCGCTGGAGAAGTAGCAGCCTGCCCTCCGTCCGAAACTCTGGTCCTCCTTCCCCATGCCGAAGGTGGAGCATCGCCGTGACTTGGCCCCGCCACCACCATCCTCGCTTGTTGCCTAGTTCTCCTGGTGGCGCACTCTGGCGGAGGTGAGGCGGGGATGAGATGCAGAGGGGCGGCGGCGGGCGGCTAGGGTTCGCCCCGAGCCGCCCGCGCGTGGGAGACGTGGAGCCCTTATAGCCAGCCCTTTACCATGGCATAAAGTTTGTGATTTTAACTTTGTTACTGGTACTATTCTCTGTATGAACTTAGTTTCTTGTGGTTCCTTGTTTCAGGATGTCGACAGGCACTGCTGGTGAGTGTCCATATCGTAATTGGAATTCTACTACTATAAAGCATATAGCAATCTGGTGGAGTTGTATCCCTGTTACTTAGATGTCCCACTGACTGAGCCTGCCGCAAGCTGGCGATGCCGCCAGCGTTGATTTGGGCGTGCTATAGCGGCGAGTACAAGTGTGCATGTCTTGTGAAGTAAATATGGATTTTAGCAAGAGCACGAACATGTTCCATCAGCTTTCAGGACACACTCTTGCAACGCTCTCTTACAGTTGATACCACGCCTTGATTTATCCCTACATTGAATATCATACAAATGCTTCGTCGTACCATGAGGCATTGTTAGATGATTCCGAGCCTTCTTTATATCCTCATCAATGTACTCCTTTACTTTGTGGGCATATATCAACCCATTGTCTAACATGGAAGGCCCAGCTGTTATCAACCAATCCCTAAAGTACTTGCAAGTGCCATGCAAAATGAACTCAACGATGCCAATAAATGGGAGCGCACGTGTGTCTGGCATGACCCAGTTGTATAGCTCTGCCAAGTTTGTAGTCATTACATTGTAGCGTGAACCATCCTTATCGAACAATAAAGCCCACTTCTCCTTTGGTTCCTTCTCAATCCACTCTGAAAATTTAGAAATTTCTGATGCTTTCCTCCTCTTCATTCGTGGTGGACCATTTGTAAGATGACCAACTGCCTCTGGAGCATCATCACCTTCAGGCTATGGCTTCGATCTGTTCTCATCTGTTTGCTTAGCTGTCAAGTCGTCCAACCTGTACCACAACTCATTAAACTTCTTCTGCTGGTTTTGTAAACATAACCTCTTGAAAAGGTCCATCACTCTCTTGTTGCTAAATTGTTTGTAGATGTTAGCACCCATATGCCTCATACACCATCTGGTCCTAACATCTGGCCACTTGGCTGCACCGTAATCAGAGCTACCATGCTTCAAATCATCAATAGCCCACGTCATGCCTATGTGTCAGTCATGTATCAAGCAAACATATGGTCTTCCCATCACAACGTGTTCCTTGACTCGTCTTAGGAACCAATACTAGTTATCAGTGTTCTCACTCTCAACGAATGCAAAAGCAGCTGGTAACAATTGGTTGTTGCTATCAACACCTATGGTTGTCAAAATTTGGTCTCTATATTTGCCGGTTAAGAATGTGCCATCAATGCAAAGGATGAGGCAACGGTGCACAAATGCTAGGATGCAAGCTGCAAAAGAGAAGAATGCTTTCTGCAGAATGCTTGCATTGCCCTCATCATTCTTAGCTGATGAATAGTGCTGAAGGTCGATACAGGTGCCTGGATTCCTAAACTGAATTATTGCTAGCAATTTCAGCAAGTTATCATAAGATGCTTTGAATGTGCCAAACCTTGTCTCTATAGCCTTCTGTTTTGCCCTATATGCCTTTGCATAGCTGATGGTGTGCTTGTATTTTTTTTTCTTTTATGTGCATAATGATTGACATTGGTTCAAAGTTTAGGTTCTTCATAACATGGCCATACACCTCAGCTGCTATGGATGCTGATGTAATATTACGGTAGTACTTCTCCACTCCTTATAAGTGGCACACATGCTTCGTAACAATCGAGAATTGCCAGCAATCCTTCCATTTACCCTTGTATGCGTGAACCTGCCATGGACAGTCCACCTCCGTCACACACCTAACCTCATACATAGTTTTGCAAGACTTCCCTACCCTAAACTCTCCCTGCAAAGAAATAACAAAATGTTTCACCGCCTCCTTCAAATCCTCCAATCTAGCATACCGAGCACCTTGCACGACCTCATTCTCCTTATACTCCCATGGCATGTGATGGCCATCTGAAATAATCAGGCAAGAAAAATCCTTGTTGCAAACCATGGGAATATCCTCGTCAGACGATGCATCTCCAACATCCTTCTCGTTTTCCGCATCCTCTCTTTTCATCAGATTCATAATACTACCAATCCTCTTGTCACACCTCGATTTTCGTTCGGGATTAAAAATCATTAAATAATATATTTTCTAGAAATTAAATTAAAATTAAATGCAATTTATCAAGTGAAATTAATGAGTGAATTAAATATTTCCTTTAAAAAATCATAGCTAGAAATATTTTTGTAATATTCTCCATGCCTTAATATACTCTCTGGAATCCCCCGTGAATTTTCGGAGCTCAAAAGATAATTTTAAAAGCACAAAGTTCATTTAATCATAATTAAATCTAAAAAAAATAAAAATCACCTTCTTTGTCTTTGGGCCATTTTTGGCCCAAGTTCGTTTCCTATCCCTCAGGCTCGTCCCATCCTGTCTCCTCCCGGCCTGCTTCCTCCCTCTCCATTGGGCCTCGGGCCCTCTAGTCCATTTTGTGTCCCTCCTTCTTTGGTTGTCGCTGACAGGTGGGGCCCACCTGTCGGGCTCACCTTCAACCTCCAGCCACCTCTCCCGAAACCGCCGGCCACGACGCCGCCGTTCCGCGCCTCTTCTCCCGCACCCCTCGTTCGAATCGGCGCGGAGGCGGGTCGCCTCCACCACCTCCATCATTCCACCCCCCCCCCCAACTCTCCCCGCGAAGAACGGCACCGATTTGACCCCTCGAGCTCCACATCACCGTCCCACTCCACCGCCGGTTTCCGCTCGCCCAAACCCGATTCTGCTCTTCCAAGCCTATAAATCTCAATCCCCGAGCTCCCCTCGTGCCCAAAACTACCTCCTCGCGCTGCGCCCTCTCTCCGCAACTCGCCGCCAATCTCCGGCCAAGCGCCGCCGTCTCTAGAATGAGGTGGTTCGACGTGCCGGGCTGCTTCTGCTTCCACATCTGGAACGCCTGGGACGAACCCGCCGTCGTCATCGTCTGCTCCTGTATCACGCCGCCCGACGCGCTCTTGTCCTCCGTGCGCGCCGTCCTGTCCGAGGTCCGGCTCGACCTCCGGACGGGGCGGTACAGCCGGCGCGAGCTCGTGCCAGGGCTCAACCTCGAGGCCGGCACGGTGAACCGGTCGCTGCTCGGCCGCCGCACTCGCTTCACCTACCTCGCCGTCGCCGAGCCGTGGCCGCGGTGCCGCGGCGTGGCCAAGGTGGACCTTGGCACCGGCGAGCTCGCGGCCGTGCACGAGTACGGCGAGGGACGGTTCAGCGGCGAGCCCACGTTCGTGCCGGCGACGTCGGCGACGTCCGGCACCGGCACCGGAGGCAGGGAGGACGACGGGCACGTGGTGGTGATGGTCCACGACGAGGCGGCGGGCACGGCGGAGCTGGTGGTGCTCGACGCCGGGAAGATGGAGGTGGCGGCGACGTAGCAGCTCGCCGAGCAGAGACTTGATTAATTAGTTTTAGGACTCCCTCCGTTTTAGGATGTTTTTGACCTTTGTCAATATCAAACTGCTTTAAATTTGACTAAGTTTACAGATAAATATAGTAATATTTATAATACTAAATTAGTTTCACCAAATTAATAATTGAATATATTTTCATATTGAATTTGTCTTGAGTTGAAAATGTTGCTACTTTTTTCTACAAACCTGGTCAAACTTAAAACAGTTTAACTTTGACTAAAGTCAAAACGTCTTATAACCTGAAACGGAGAAAGTATTTCTTATTAGGGGGTGTTTAGATGGGGTTAAAATTTTTTAGTCCATGTCACATCGGATGTTTAGACATTAATTTAGAGTATTAAACATATACTAATAAAAAAAACTAATTTCATAAATGAGAACTAATCCAGGAGGCGAATTTTTTAAGCCTAATTAATCCATAATTAGCAAATCTTTACTGTAGCATCACATAGGCTAATCATGTATTAATTAGGCTCAAAAGATTTGTCTCGCGAATTAGTCCAAGGTTATGAAATGTATTTTATAATTAATCTATGTTTAATACTCTAAATTTGCGTCCAAACATCCGGTGTGACAGGGACTAAATTTTTGTCCCTAGTTCCCAAACACCCCCTTAGTTTGTTGCTACCAGGTTTAAAATTTCAGTTCGAAATATCTGAAATTAATTTCAGTAATTTCGGAAATCCCTGCGAACTCACACCGGCAAGCAAATATCTTGTACGGAATTTTTGGTTTTTCATATTTTTATGTAAGAATTTGGTTAAAATTTATTCACATTTAGTCAAATTTATTAAATTTTTAAATAATTTCGTTAAAAAAATAAATTCCCAAAATATTTGAAATTCCGGTTACTACTGAAATATCAGAAATTTTGGTTTTCACCAAAATTATAAACGTTGGTAGCTACAAGCTTCTCGGATATTTTGATTTTTTTTCTATTTCAAACTAAATATATTATCAAGTTTTGGAAGACAAAACAAATATATTATCAAACTATATCTCATATTGGATTTAATGGAACAAAATATTTAATGCTACGCATAATGCTATTTTTTTTAAAAAATAGTAAGTTTGACTTGAAAATAAAAATCAAAAGGTTGTACGAAACAGGACGCACCATATGTAGGGGATAAATACTCTCTTCGATCAGTAATATATGACACTTTGAATGTCATAGATTTTTTTTATGAGGGCAAGTATATCTATATATTTTTGCATGTATTAATTAACATTTTGAATCTATATATCTTCAGATCACCAAGCGTGTGTGATAAACAAGCACCCGTGTGTTGCTCGGCAAATAGGTAGCCTTTCTCAAACTCAAACTCAGGATGATATTTGAACTGGGCTTTATAATCCTTTTTTTTTAAAAAAAAAACAGTTGCTCACAAATAGATAACCTTCCTCACGCCGCCTTTGTTGCTGACAAGGTTATGATATGCTCGTGTTCATCCTCGATATGATTTACATGAAGAGGTCGATCGAGGTGTCATATCTAGAAGACATGGAGATCTCATCAACGAAAAATATATGTGTGCAAGCACTAATTGCCACAAATATGTCGCATGAATATTATTAGTTACATCATCAGTTTGATGGATCATTTACATGAATTGACATGAACAAACACAATGTACATTTGCGCTGTGTCAATGCTCCCTCCAATCAAAGATGTCGCAACAAAACGCATCTGGACAAAATTTCGAGGCATCAAGTATCAACGCCTTATGATACAAAATTAATGTATGGATGCATTTGATTTAGAGTGTTACCAAATTTTGGTAATGTTTTTAAGAGTTAAAACTTTTGAAAATTATGGTAGGATGGTATTGACTAAAGTATGTTTATTAAAATTTATTGACTTACCAAACTGTGGCAAGTTTAAAAGTGACAACAAACCAAACATGTCTTGAATGAATTTGTATATGATTTAGGGCTCCTTTAAAACACGGGATTCGAAAAATATAAGGGTAGGCTATCACATGTTGAATCCTACAAGGAAAAAAATTCACAAGAATTAACGAAACACCTTGATTAGTAACCCAATAGAAAAAACAGACGAACTCTAGACACAAGAAAGAGAAACTATGAGGTAAGACTTCATGTTAGGGGGTGTTTAGATCCCACTCCAAAATTTTACACCCCGTCACATCGAACATTTAAACACCTATATAAAAATTAATTATAGACTTAAAAAAATAACTAATTGCACAGTTTGCGACTAATTTGCGAGACGAATCTTTTAAGCCTAATTGCGCTATGATTTGACAATGTGGTGCTACAATACACATTTACTAATGACGGATTAATTAGGTTTAATAAATTCGTCTCGCGGTTTACAGGCGAATTCTGTAATTTGTTTTGTTATTAGATTACATTTAATACTTCAAATATGTATCCGTATATCTGATGTGACATGCCAAAACTTTACACCCCTGGATCTAAACACAGCCTTAGGATTTCTCCAAAAATCCCATCAAATGGCCCATTCCATAGAAATTCTAAAGAGACTTTTCAGAGTTATTCTTTTCTTCAAAACAGTCACATAAGAATTATTTCCCCTAAGAATTCAATCCTTGAAAAGTCCTCCATTTCCCCTTTGTTCCGAAGGAGTCCTTAGAAGACGGTGTCTATGTCCAAGACTTTACATAATTGCGACCATATAGAATATATCTCACGGTATACGTGAGGACTGACGTGCCATGGTTCTATCATGGTACACTTGCACAGCCCCCTTGGAACGATCTTATGATCTTCGGAGACAACAATGCCTGAAAGTTGTGGAGATTTTAGCTGCAAATGTTACCATCCAACACAGCCAGGGAGGGTACAATCAGTACAAAATGTACAATCGAGTGAACCAAGTGGCCTTGCCAAGTTGCGACGGCCTACATCCCAGCATTTGTTGTCAAAACATGAGTGACCCATCTTGTTGTGTTCATCCGCCAAACAACAAACTGCAAAACATCATCAACATATGCCTTCTGCTGTTGGATCCACAAGAATTATCACTCTGCTAGAGACAGACAGAGATGCCTCTAGGTGGTACTGGCACATGTACAATGCTACAATAGCTTGCAATGCCATGACATGAAAGATATCATAAAACGAGAACTAAAGAATGGTATAGAAGGTACAACAATGACCAATACAATAAACCTGAAGTTTTGGTTAGAATCATTGCAGCAATGGACAACTGAACTATTCGTGTACCTCTCCACTTCTCCATATACACAAAGGAATGGTCGTACATGTGAGATGATTTACTTGCTGCAGGACCAGGGCAAGGATGCACATCAAAATGATGTATAGACACACTCTTTACACAATAAAAGAAAATAAATACACCAAAAGGGAAAAAAATAAAAGATAATAAAGCACACTCTCTCCAGGCAATCCATTCTCCTGATCCTTACATGGATGTTCAAAATTCTCTTCTTTGAACAGGGAGAAATGGCATTCGTTGTGTAATTGCCTCGTTGACACCTATGAGCAACCAAGACATTTACTTACTGGACCTAAGAATTCCAGGAAGCTGGATGTCGGCTGAGGTGTTGTTTCCTCTGCCCTTAAAGGTAGATGTCTGAGGAATGCCCTGACTACACCTGACACACCGTCTTCAGATTCCATGGCCTTGGCAAGCTCCACGGCTTTTTCTTTCACCTGAAATTACATGACACACCGACAAAGTCATTGATCAGGTACGAAACAGACCCATCATACAATGTACACCACCATGCCATAGACCATCTTATCCACGCTATGGAAAAAATACTACTTTTCATCGTATCAAATATTTCGATTTATGTTAATTGACACTTACATAAAAAGTACATAAAAGTAAAATCTATATATATCTATATCGGCTGGTTTACACAGCAGATAATGGTTATGATAACTTGGTACAGTTTGTATTGAAACAAACAGTGGAAATTGACGACTTTGTGCAATGCAAAAAATACCCTGCTACTGCCTATTGCCAACCATTCCAGCACAAGGTAATGTTCAATTCTAAATGGTATTATCATATCTTCAGATTATTTGATTATTTTAAAAAGGAACCCCAAACCTAGAATGGGTAGGATGCGGGGAATCATTATCTCCTGTGTGAATCAAGTCCAGAAACTATTTCTTTCAATGAAATGAACTAGCAACTAGGTATTCCAGTATTTCATTTGAGGGAAGAAACCAGGAAAGCAAGGAAAGTGAGTTATCCCAACAGAAGAGAAAAAAACTAGCTAGAACTTTTTGGCAAAGACGGTCTTAAATACTGTGGAGCAAGTAAGGGTCTAATACTAGAGAGTAAAAGAATAGCATTTAAGTAGCACAAGTGGTGCAATGAATTAATAAACTACTCCCTCCGTCCCAAATTTTAGGGTGCCCCTTTTTAAGAAAAATCAAACTTGGTAGCTTTTGACTAATAATCATACTAACTATATCAATATAAGTATTATATATGCTATATCACTAGATTCATATTTTGAAGTACTTTCATGTGATGCTAATTTCATATTTGTTGGGAACATAGAATGCAATAAAATAAATAAATAGTGGTCAAAGTATATTATTGAAGACCATGTAAAAAAATATAGACCTTATAGTTTGGGACAGAGGGAGTACTACTATAAATCAACACCTGAAAAGAGAGAATTTAAATAACCATTCTAGGGCCAAAAAACGGATATTGCCAGTTCTGGTTTTCATCCTGAAACAGGTGATTTGCAGCACAAAAGCTGGTCCATTAATTTGGAAGGCAAAAAGTGATATAATATATAATCTTAAAAAACAGGTGATATAATGCCTATTCAGGTCAAACTGCAAATACAAGCAGATCTAAATAAATAGAAAACCAGCCAAGCAAATAGAGACCAAACAGGATAAGGCTCCAGAGAACACTGGTTTTCCAAACCCTAGCGAGTTCAAGACAGACAGTGCAGGAGCAACTCTGTTGTCACAAAGTAGGAGCAGTATATATGCAATGTTGGTTGTTTCGGTGAAGCAAATGTTCGTTTTTTACTAGACATTTTGCACATCAACAGTCCCTGATGCGCATGTTCCATTGCTACCTTTTTCAACTATATATTTACAAAAAATTGAAACATAAATATATGAAAGTATTTTTCATTATAAATTTATTAATACCATTTTCACATATCAAATCCAAATATTTTTTAGCATATTAAAATTTAAGATCTCAAGACGTAATCTACTTGAGAACGGAGGTAGTAGATTCCCTGTTAACTATTTACATTTGTTGGACGGTTAAACATGTTTGAATGGAAGATATCATGTTATGTATGAAAGAGGAAGCATTAGAACCAAGTTAAAATGCACCAGCTAGTCAGCATATCTAGGAGGGGTGAAATCTATATATTCGCAATCCTATTGACAACATATATACATCCGGATCCATATTCTTGTTGTCTTTATACATCTTACCAACAAAAATAACAGCAACATTAAGAACATATTTGAATTGTGTTGCAAAGTAGATGTTACCTTTGGCTCCATCATGAAATTTATAGCATCAACCAATTTTCGCAAGCTGAATTGATCAACTGGTATAGGTAGAGGCCCTACCCCTCTAGCATGCACTCGGTCTCCCCAGAATGGTTGGTCGCCAAAGAAAGGTACAATAGTTGTAGGGCACTACAAATCACACAAAGGCTAGGTTAGGAGAACTGAATCATTTTCAAGAATTAGCCCAAAAAGTAGCACACCACCTGCCAGACCCTATTTTTTGCAATGTGTTAACAGGAATTTCTGAAAGTTAGGTGGAATTGGAACTGCTGTTAGAGTTCATAAATTCATTCAATCCAGAAGTGTAACCCCAATTTTTATTAGTTAAGCCAGGTTTTTCTTTTGAGAGAGAGAAAGGAGGGAGAAGGGCTAAGAAGGGAGAGAGGGAATACCGCTGCTTTGAGGCCAGCAGCTGTTGTTCCAGCACCGCCATGATGTACCTACAGAAGTAAAAAAAACAAAGAGTGAGCTAGCCTCTCCCTGAACGCACATGCAAACTTAACATCATAAGTTCTTTCAATCAAATTAGATAAATTTCTAAGTACCGTTTTAGTCCGTAACAGGTACTTACGCCATGAAAGCTACTCATAATCAATAACTGAAAATTTAAATTTTGGTTTATAATTTCACTAATCAGTACTTCCTCCGTTTCACAATGTAAGTCATTCTAGTATTTCCCACATTCATATTGATACTAATGAATCTAGATAGATACATATGTCTAGATTCATTGGCATCAATATGAATGTGAGAAATGCTAGAATGACTTACATTATGAAACGGAGGGAGTACTAAAAACTATTAAGAAGTAATAACTAGTAATCTCTGAAAGTTAAACTTAAAGATATCTACTTCATGCCAAGAATGACAAGCAAAATGTTTACCACTGCTTTACACTGCAGGAAGAGCCAGTCATGGGGGCAGTTATCAAGTAGATATACAAAATCTTTTGGCTCTGCCACTGCCACAATGTTTTGGAGTTGTCAGGATGGAGGTAAATTACACGTGCACAGAAAAAAAAATGGCAATGAGAAACAAGGTCACATCTTAAGAGGTGAACTTACATGTTCCAAGCCCACCCCAACCTTTGTTGATGATACCTCTCTGTCCAGTTATTTCAAGTGCTTTGACAATGACTTCAGTCATCTTTGCTGGATCTTGAACTGGCTAGTATATATACGAACAAATGAAAGGAGTGAATTTTCAAAACACAACAATCATAGTATCCTAAAATTCATTAAGAAAAAAACTGAACCATGGAATCACTATTTGCAAGCAGCTACTATATGCATGCCACACAGATCAACACCACCAAGGCACCAACAACTCATTATCATAAGCAAAACTAACAAGGAAGTTCATCCTTGTTTCCTAAGTTTACACAACTGTTTGTACAACATTGACCTCTCCCAAGGTCAAATATTGGAATTGCAGTTGCAGAATGGCCAAAAAGATCACAGCATAACAAAATGTCCTGTGTGGCTATGCTTGAAGTTACTTTTTTCAGAAATTTATTCTATACAAATTGAGCATAGCATTTTATGTAACAAGCTTCTCTGGTGCATCAAAGTTATGGTTTCCATAACAATTTGATCTCCTGACGTCCATATACCATTTTCTAGAGTAAGACATAAACTAATGTGAATAACATAACTATTGTTTGCCATGAGATGCTATGCTAAGCTTCATAAGTGACATAACAGTGTACTACTAGATGTAAATATGCAATGGTAAAAAGTGAAAACACTGTAAAGTGTTGTTTCATGCAGTAAAATAAATATGAGTTCCACTAATCCACAAGCTGCATTAACCACCGATGTCATTTGGACAACTACAGAAATGATAACACATGCACACAGTCCTATCTAATTAGACAAGCAGTTCAAAGTTTAACTATATAGTACAAGTAAAGGTCAACAAATTGTGCCATCATACATAGAAGAGTAGAAACATAATACGTCAAATGATGCCTAGATCAGAACAGGGGAAACAAAAACTGAAAACCTCTAATAATACAAATCGAGATCAAAGTGATCTTACAAGACTACCAAACCCAACGTATATGGGCTTGTCACCAGCTTCAAGCCATTTTATAAGTGGTTCAGGAGGCACATAATTGGAAGCAAGATCAAGAAAGCAAAATCCAACAACATCAATCTTGAGGCCCCAATCTGCAACAGAATAGACTATGTAATTCACAGTAGAATTACAGACCATTAACAACAAAAATTGCTCAGTTAACACCAAAATTGAGCAGGAAACTTCAAGGTTTTTTCCTTAACAGTTAACGCACTAATATATCCATATCTTACAACTCATATTATTGAAAGGATATGATAGTTCCTTATACACATCAGTGATTACTGAAAAAGCATAAAATAGCTTAACAAGCATTTTCCTAATGATATATTTTAGAAAGAATTGGATATTTGCCACCAGAGTTTGCATCAGTCATCGGTCTGCCATCGGAAATGAGCTTATTGCTACAGTGCCATTGGTTTTTCGGTGGTTTTGATATATTTGCTACTCCTACAGCATTAGAAAACAACTGACTCCTTTAGGCCAGCAGCCTCTAACCATCAAAAGAACCCCGGGGATAGGTACATGACCCAAAAAAAGAATGCTCTCCACACCTTTCTTCACTTCTCCTCTCTACTCTCTCCCATATTTTTTCATAATCATGTAAAATTGATGTTACTAGATTTATTATTAAACAAACTATCATAATATGTAACTCTTTTTATTTAAAACATCTTACTTTTATAGATATTGCTGGTCAGAGTAGCATCTCGGAAACCGTGTCAAAGTTCAAAAATTCTTATATTTTGGGACGGAGGGAGTAGCAAACTTTCATGCTCATTACCAATTAGAAAAATGTGGTATCAAACTGAAAGGCTACCAATTTCAGTTGGCATTACTAATATTGACTTGGTTCACAGTGTTATCACAGCAAATACTCAAGCAAGCTCTTTTCAATACAACAACTGAATGCTATAAGAAAGTCAAATGAAAAGAAACCATAGGACCAGATTAAGGTCCACAAGTTTTAAAAACTATACAATCGAAGGATGACAAGGTTAAGCATGACGTGAAAAGGGATAACATATAAATTTCAGATAAAGCTAATACTCATCAGGAACCTTTCGGTTTTGGAACAAGGTGAGGACTCCAGATGTAACCATGAGGAATGTCATTCCCAGAACCCTGTGCACCACTTAGGTATGTTACCGGACGCAACTTCAGCTTCTTCTTCCTAAATTCATTTATCATATCTCGGATACCAAGCCAAATCATAGAGTCAACAATTTGATAAGAAAGCTGCAAGTGTAAACCATTTGAAGATTAGATAACAAATCAGATCAGAAGAAAATGAGTGATTTGAGTATGAATCTTTCAACAAGTGCTTGATGTGAGTTAGGGAGATGATCTCTAACTTTGACATGTGGTGCATGGTTGTTTTTAGGGAATGCAGCAAAATTGCAACCTATTTAATTACAAGAATTACTATAAATTGGATCAAGGTCCCTTGCAACCTAAAGAGCACTCCCAAGAACACCAGCCACACTGAATGAAGCCAGAAACTAACTCTCTGCATACAGTAACTCACTTGAGTTTACCACCCAAATCAGTCTAACAACAAACGAGCACAAGCAGGCAGGCCAAAATTGTCAGAGTTGGGACCCTATCCCAGAGATGCACAACAATGCAAACAAAGTAAGCACAACAAAACCTATTGTCTGATTGCCATTTACAAAATAACAGTTCAAGCCATTTCAAATATCTCTACTATTATAAAAATTGAAGATGTTTCCGCCGGAATTTTGGTACGTCGCCCGTATCCAATTCGATGTGAGCCTAAAATAACTATTGTAACTATTATTCAAAAAATTTGTACAAATATAAAAAATAAAATGTTGTGCTTAAAGTACTTTGGGTAATAAAGTAAGTCAAAAAAAATAATTCTAAAATTTTTTTGAATAAGACGAGTGGTCAAACAGGGCAAACAAAAACTCAAAATCCCTTGTATTATGGGATGGAGGGAGTAGTTTGTAACTTTTGGTCCCATTGGTGTTTTTGATTGCTCAGTTGATGGTTTTCTTCATATTGAGGCCCAGAGCACATTCTATCGTGTTGCTACTGATATTGCGTTCATCTGGGACCTGTTAGTTCTTAAATTCATCACTTCCAGATTTTTCCTCCAATGAAATCTTGTTTCCATTTTTCCCTTTGGCATGCTATCTTTGAAAAATCATGTTGATACAGAACTGAAGTACCGGTTAACTGAAGAAATTTTTGTTAGACAACTGATTTTGATATTTTTTGAGTCTCTACAAGTCTTGATCCATGTTGTAGGAGCCTATTTCTAATCCCATGTCATTCTTATTCTTGCAGATGAGTCTTGGTTTTCATTCCTGCAACGCAGTGACTGGGAAATACTATTAATGGATGCTATCCTTGATGTTCCTACTGACGATGGGAAACACCAAACAATTAGGGTAACAATTCCAGACAACACGACACCATCACCACAAATTGATTGCAAGGCATGCAAGTCCCAACCAACGCCGACGCCACCTCCGCCTCCATCTCCGTCACCTCCACAGAAGTGAATCCATCTGGAGAATACTTTTGGTCCGGAAACAGCTACCATGGATTAGTTTTTTCTTTACCCTATTGCTCATCAACCCTGAAAAGAAATAAGTGCTGCAGTTGGAACGGGAGAACAGCAGATTTTTTGCTTTGGTGTTCGCAACGATACAACATAGAATAGGTTACCTGATTGTTTCCCACGCAGCAATACTTTGAAAGGTAGGTCCATCAGTCACTAAACTAGATTTGCTTTAGGACTTGCTAGCGGGGCATCATATATTTTAACTGAAGTTTTGATACTCCATGAGATCTCGTAGATTCTTGCTGGTTGCACAAGCCTGCTGATTGGCATTTGGCAATACATACATATAGTACGTAGCAGTTTGATTAGGGATGTGGGATTTTAAGTTCAACAAATGATGGCTTCTGTGTAGTCAATCATTAAATTGTCTCGGCCGAGCTATCCGCCATGTCATTATCTTTCTATTGTTAGTGATCAAGAGGCCTGCTTATGAGATTTATCCCCTTCTATTATACCTCACTTTATAGTTATCAAAATATGGCTATTTCTAGCTGTAGCTATATTTTATGAAGGATGGAGGTAATAGATTCTTAACTGATTGCCCTTTGTTAGATTTGGTCCTGTTTTCTACCATGCATATAACCAACTTTTGGTTATGAATATGGACAAATATGTGTTCAGATTTATAGCTTAACACTTGCTATATTTTGAGAGCATGCAGTATTTCTTTTTCATTTGACAAGTAAATTGACAAACTACTCGCCCAACTACCCAAGCTACGCCATTTGCCGATCTGCACCGTATGCCGTTGGCGACCTGCTCGTCTTGTCCCTTGCTCGTCGCGTTGCCTCTACTTATTCTCGAATAAAACCGTACATAAGTAATAGGGATTTGATATAGGGAAAATTGGCATATCTCATTAATATGAAAGTAGTATTGGTGGGTTGGTTGGTAGGTAAGGGGTATTGAAGGGATAAAACTCTTCCATTTGTGAACCAATAGTAGGTAAGAGTATAGAAATCAGCTTTTTTTTTGGCATTTGACGGGGAACTTGTAGTTACATTTTGGAAAAGTTCCTGACTTGTAATTAGCGCGCAGTTCGTCTTTGGCAACCTTTAGAACTCCCGCTACCTCTAACATGTTAGAGCATGTCCTAGCTCATCCAAACCTGATCTACCATATTACCATTTGAATGGTCATAAAAAAATCCATCTCTATATCTCTTTTCACTCCAACAAATCATTCATATTACATCTTCAATAAACCACACCTTTTTATATTTTATTAATATCTTTCAACTCCTAACTGGTAAAAGTATATTTCTCTTCATCTTTTCTCTATGACAGGTTCATCCCGGGTGCTCGATCCAGAGAAGAGGAAGAGGGGAAGGGTGGACTAGGACAACCGAGTAGAGGGGCGACAGTGGGAGCTAGCGACGCAGATGGGCACGGGTGGTGCAGGGCCATCGGAGTTGGGTCAGCGGCTCAGCACGAGAGGTGCACTGGTCACAGACTGTGGGCCGCTAGAGCCTCCTAGGGGAGGGCGTGAGCGGCGCAGGTGATAGCGCGGGTCGCACAGGGCCGCCGAAGTTGTCGCAATTGGAGGTGCTGCAGGCGTAGGGGCAGGGGTAGTTGATCCGAATGGGGGCGGGAGCTTGATCTGGAGGAGTCGGTTGCAATATGGCGTGAGGAGAGAGAAACGCCAAATATAAATTTGGTGTTTCTCTCTGTGGGATAGCGTATGCACCATTTTTGGAGGCCTGGATAGCATATATGCTAGAGTCGCTTTTTTCCCTCCATATGCCATTTTTTCAATGGAGAACATGATAGATGAGCTGCTAGGCATGCTCTTAGCAAGCGTCCGTGTGGTGGATTATGTTTCACTTGTAGTGAAAAGAAAATCTTGACCGTGGAAAATACATAACATGATTATCTGATGTCAACTTAGTGGAACGCTGAGGATGGTGCCTGCCTCCGGACTGCTCCAGCTAAAAACCAATTCCCTAATAACAAACAGATAAAATAGCTTATAAGCAGCTACGTTTTCTAGGTAGCCAGCTAGTTAGCTAGCAATGCTGCCTGTCGATAAATCATAGGCAAGACCGGCCACCTGTTGGCCGCAGCGAGCAGCGGGAAGGCGATGCTTGTCGCCGGCGGCGACACCAGGTGGTGAGGTCGGCTGGCCGGCCATCCGCGCGGCGCGGTGGTCGTTTTATTCTTAGCCAATAAAGAAACTAAAATTCTGCTTCACAATTTTTAATTTTGGTAGCGGCTGAGAGGCAAACTTCGATGTGACTTTGTATAAATTTAGTTTATTTTGCTTATTTTTTATATACTCTCTCATCCTAGAATATAGCAGTCTATAACTAAATGTAACTTACACTACTATGTAAATCTAGACAGGAAAAAAAAGTACAAGAGTACTCTCCATCTTATATTAAGTGCAGTTGTAGAATTTAATTAAAAACCAAATTAGTAGGACAAACGAATTACCTAAATGCCCGGATGGGATTGAGAGTGGGATGGCATGTAATTTAAATGATGAATGATAAAATGGGAAGGAATTAATTTAAATCAAAAGTGGTTGAAACAGAAAAAATGTGAATAGGTTGCCACTTATTATGTGATGAAGTTTGCATACTAGGAGGTGTTTAGATACAGGGGTGTAAAGTTTTGGCGTGTCACATCAGGTATTATATAGGGTGTCGCATGGGGTGTTCAGGCACTAATAAAAGAACTAATTACAGTATCCGTTAGTAAACCACGAGACGAATTTATTATAAGCATAATTAATCTGTCATTAGCACATGTTTATTGTAACACCATATTGTCAAATCATGGAGCAATTAGGCTTAAAAGATCCGTCTCGCAAATTAGTCGCAATATGTGCTATTAGCTATTTCTTTAGCCTATATTTAATACTCCACGCATGTGTTTAAACGTTCGATATGACAGAGTTTAAAATTTTGGGGTGAGATCTAGGCAACTTATCCTATGCACACACCTATCTTGGTGTACTCATGCACTCGACCACTATCAGCTCTTGTATTCTAATCCAAAGGCTAAAAACCTAAGTGTGGCGTTTTTGTAAGAGAAACCACGAGGTAAGACTTCATGTTAGTTTTCCTCAAAAAAAAAATTCCATCAAATGGCCCATTCCGTAGGAATTCTGAAGATGCTTTTCAGAGTCATTCTTTTATTCAAAACAATCACATAAGAATTATTTCCCCTAAGAATTCAATCTTTGATAATTCCTCCATTTCCCCTTTGTTCCGAAGGAGCCCATAGAAGACAGTGTCGATGTCCAAGACTTTACATAATTGCGACCACATAGAATAATCTCACAGTACACGTGGAGGCTGACGTGCCATGGTCCTATCATGGTACACTTTCACAGCCCACTTGGCACGATCTTATGACCTTCCAAGACAATAACGCCCAAAAGTTGTGGAGATTTTAGCTGCAAATGTTGCCATCCAACACAACCAGGGAGGGTACAGTCAGTAGAAAATGTACAATCGAGTGGAGCAAGCGGCCTTGCCAAGTTGCCACGGCCTACATCCCAGCATTTGTTGTCAAAACATGAGTGACCCATCTTGTTGTGTTCGTCCTCCAAACGACAAACCGCAAAACATCATCGAACATATGCCTAGACCACCCAAGTTTCTGCTGTTCGCTAGTACTGTTGGATCCACAAGAATTAATACTCTGCTAGAGACAGACAGAGATGCCCCTAGGTGGTATTGGCACATGTACAATGCTACTATAGTTTGCAATGCCATGACATGAAAGATATCATAAAACGAGAACTAAAGAAAATGGTATAAAAGGTACAATATGACCAATACAATAAACCTGAAGCTTTGGTTAGAATCATTGCAGCAATCGACAACTCAACTATTCGTGTGCCTCTCCACTTCTCTCCATATACACAGAAAGGACTGGTCGTACATGTGAGATTCTTTACTTGTTGCAGGACCAGCAGGGCAACGATGCACATCAAAATGATGTATAGACAAGCACCTTTTACACAATAAAAGAGAAAAAATACACAAAAAGGAAAAAAATAAAAGATAATAAAGCACACTCTCCAGGAAATCCGTTCTCCTGATCCTTGCAGGGATGTTCAAAATTCTCTTCTTTCAACAGGGAGAAATGGCATTCTTTGTGTAATTGCCTCACTGTCACCTATGAGCAACCAAGACATTTACTTACAGGACCTAAGAATTCCAGGAAGCTGGATGTCTGCTGAGGTGCTGTTTCCTCTGCTCTTGAAGGTAGATGTCTGAGGAATGCCCTGACTGCACCTGACACACCATCTTCAGATTCCATGGCCTTGGCAAGCTCCACGGCATTGTCTTTCACCTAAAATTACATATGACACCCGACAAAGTCATTGATCAGGTACGAAGCAGACCCGTCATACAATGTACACCACCATGCCATAGACCATAGTATCCCCTTATCCTTATCCACGCTATGGGAAAATTAGTACTTTTCAACATCGTATCAAATATTTCGATTTATGTTAATTGACACTTACATAAAAAGTACATAAAAGTAAAATATATATATATATCTATATCGGCTGGTTTACACAGCAGATAATGGCTATGATAACTTGGTACAGATTGTATTGAAACAGTAGTGGCAGCGGCTATCTGGGACAACAGTGGAAATTGACGACATTGTGCAATGGAAAAAAATACCCTACTACTGCCTATTGCCAACCATTCCAGCACAAGGTAATGTTCAATTCCAAATGGTATTATCATATCTACAGATTATTTTATTATTTTAAAAAGGAAACCCAAACCTAGAATGGGTAGGATGCGGGGAATCATTATCTCCTGTGTGAATCAAGTATCAAGTCCAGAAACGATTTCTTTCAATGAAATGAACTAGCAACTAGGTATTCCAGTATTTCATTTGAGGGAAGAAACCAGGAAAGCAAGGGAAGTGAGTCACCCAACAGAAGAGAAAAAAATTAGCTAGAACTTTTTGGCAAAGAGGGTCTTAAATACTGTGGAGTGAGTAAGGGTCTAATACTGGAGAGTAAAAGAATAGCATTTAAGTAGCGCAAGTGGTGTAATGAATTAATAAACTACTACTATAAATCAACACCTGAAAAGAGAGAATTTAAATAACCATTCTGGGGCCAAAAAACGGATATTGCCAGTTCTGGTTTTCATCCTGAAACAGGTGATTTCCAGCACAAAAGCTGGTCCATTAATTTGGAAGGCAAAAAGTGATATAATATATAATCTTAGAAAACAGGTGATATAATGCCTATTCTGGTCAAACTGCAAATACAAGCAGATCCAAATAAAGAGAAAACCAGCCAAGCAAATAGAGACCAAACAGGATAAGGCTCCAGAGAACACTGGTTTTCCAAACCCTAGCGAGTTCAAGACAGACAGTGCAGGAGCAACTCTGTTGTCACAAAGTAGGAGCAGTATATATGCAATGTTGGTTGTTTCGGTGAAGCAAATGTTCGTTTTTTACTAGACATTTTGCACATCAACAGTCCCTGATGCGCATGTTCCATTGCTACCTTTTTCAACTATATATTTACAAAAAATTGAAACATAAATATATGAAAGTATTTTTCATTATAAATTTATTAATACCATTTTCACATATCAAATCCAAATATTTTTTAGCATATTAAAATTTAAGATCTCAAGACGTAATCTACTTGAGAACGGAGGTAGTAGATTCCCTGTTAACTATTTACATTTGTTGGACGGTTAAACATGTTTGAATGGAAGATATCATGTTATGTATGAAAGAGGAAGCATTAGAACCAAGTTAAAATGCACCAGCTAGTCAGCATATCTACGAGGGGTGAAATCTATATATTCGCAATCCTATTGACAACATATATACATCCGATCCATATTCTTGTTGTCTTTATACATCTTACCAACAAAAATAACAGCAACATTAAGAACATATTTGAATTGTGTTGCAAAGTAGATGTTACCTTTGGCTCCATCATGAAGTTTATAGCATCAACCAATTTTTGCAAGCTGAATTGATCAACTGGTATAGGTAGAGGCCCTACCCCTCTAGCATGCACTCGGTCTCCCCAGAATGGTTGGTCACCAAAGAAAGGTACAATAGTTGTAGGGCACTACAAATCACACAAAGGCTAGGTTAGGAGAACTGAATCATTTTCAAGAATTAGCCCAAAAAGTAGCACACCACCTGCCAGACCCTATTTTTTGCAACTGTGTTAACAGGAATTTCTGAAAGTTAGGTGGAATTGGAACTGCTGTTAGAGTTCATAAATTCATTCAATCCAGAAGTGTAACCCCAATTTTTATTAGTTAAGCCAGGTTTTTCTTTTGAGAGAGAGAAAGGAGGGAGATGGGCTAAGAAGGGAGAGAGGGAATACCGCTGCTTTGAGGCCAGCAGCTGTTGTTCCAGCACCGCCATGATGTACCTACAGAAGTAAAAAAAAAAAAAAACAAAGAGTGAGCTAGCCTCTCCCTGAACGCACATGCAAACTTAACATCATAAGTTCTTTCAATCAAATTAGATAAATTTCTAAGTACCGTTTTAGTCCGTAACAGGTACTTATGCCATGAAAGCTACTCATAATCAATAACTGAAAATTTAAATTTTGGTTTATAATTTCACTAATCAGTACTAAAAACTATTAAGAAGTAATAACTACTAATCTCTGAAAGTTAAACTTAAAGATATCTACTTCATGCCAAGCATGACAAGCAAAATGCTTACCACTGCTTTACACTGCAGGAAGAGCCAGTCATGGGGGCAGTTATCAAGTAGATATACAAAATCTTTTGGCTCTGCCACTGCCACAATGTTTTGGAGTTGTCAGGATGGAGGTAAATTACACGTGCACAGAAAAAAAAATGGCAATGAGAAACAAGGTCACATCTTAAGAGGTGAACTTACATGTTCCAAGCCCACCCCAACCTTTGTTGATGATACCTCTCTGTCCAGTTATTTCAAGTGCTTTGACAATGACTTCAGTCATCTTTGCTGGATCTTGAACTGGCTAGTATACGAACAAATGAAAGGAGTGAATTTTCAAAACACAACAATCATAGTATCCTAAAATTCATTAAGAAAAAAACTGAACCATGGAATCACTATTTGCAAGCAGCTACTATGCATGCCGCACAGATCAACACCACCAAGGCACCAACAACTCATTATCATAAGCAAAACTAACAAGGAAGTTCATCCTTGTTTCCTAAGTGTACACAACTGTTTGTACAACATTGACCTCTCCCCCAAGGTCAAATATTGGAATTGCAGTTGCAGAATGGCCAAAAAGATCACAGCATAACAAAATGTCCTGTGTGGCTATGCTTGAAGTTACTTTTTTCATAAATTTATTCTATACAAATTGAGCATAGCATTTTATGTAACAAGCTTCTCTGGTGCATCAAAGTTATGGTTTCCATAACAATTTGATCTCCTGACATCCATATACCATTTTCTAGAGTAAGACATAAACTATTGTGAATAACATAACTATTGTTTGCCATGAGATGCTATGCTAAGCTTCATAAGTGACATAACAGTGTACTATTAGATGTAAATATGCAATGGTAAAAAAGTGAAAACACTGTAAAGTGTTGTTTCATGCAGTAAAATAAATATTCCCTCCATCCCTAAATATTTGACGCCGTTGACTTTTTAAAACATATTTGACCGTTCGTCTTATTCAAAAAATTTAAGTAATTATTAATTTTTTTCTATTATTTGATTCATTGTTAAATATACTTTTATGTATGCATATAGTTTTACATATTTCACAAGTTTTTGAATAAGACGAATGGTCAAACATGTTTAAAAAAGTCAACGGCGTCAAACATTTAGGGAAGGAGGGAGTATGAGTTCCACTAATCCACAAGCTGCATTAACCACCGATGTCATTTGGACAACTACAGAAATGATAACACATGCACACAGTCCTATCAAATTAGACAAGCAGTTCAAAGTTTAACTATATAGTACAAGTAAAGGTCAACTAATTGTGCCATCATACATAGAAGAGTAGAAACATAATACGTCAAACGATGCCTAGATCAGAACAGGGGAACAAAAACTGAAAACCTCTAATAATACAAATCGAGATCAAAGTGATCTTACAAGACTACCAAACCCAACGTATATGGGCTTGTCACCAGCTTCAAGCCATTTTACAAGTGGTTCAGGAGGCACATAATTGGAAGCAAGATCAAGAAAGCAAAATCCAACAACATCAATCTTAGGGCCCCAATCTGCAACAGAATAGACTATGTAATTCACAGTAGAATTACAGACAATTAACAACAAAAATTGCTCAGTTAACACCAAAATTGAGCAGGAAACTTCAAGGTTTTTTCCTTAACAGTTAACGCACTAATATATCCATATCTTACAACTCATACTATTGAAAGGATATGATAGTTCCTTATACACATCAGTGATTACTGAAAAAGCATAAAATAGCTTAACAAGCATTTTCCTAATGATATATTTTAGAAAGAATTGGATATTTGCCACCAGAGTTTGCATCAGTCATCGGTCTGCCATCGGAAATGAGCTTATTGCTACAGTGCCATTGGTTTTTCGGTGGTTTTGATATATTTGCTACTCCTACAGCATTAGAAAACAACTAACTCCTTTAGGCCAGCAGCCTCTAACCATCAAAAGAACCCCGGGGATAGGTACATGACCCAAAAAAAGAATGCTCTCCACACCTTTCTTCATTTCTCCTCTCTACTCTCTCCCATATTTTTTCCTCTCACATCAATCGGCTGCACTCATTGCCAACCATGCATGGCACTCCTTGTCAGCTGAGGATCCCCTCCATGGGTCGTGGAGCTATCTCCCTCAGCCATCTCCACCTCTGAAAGCCACCCCAACGTGCCAAGTAAGTTCTTTTTGTAGTTTGCTGATCTTCCTTAGCGATGCATAGATGGAGAACATGGACTGATTTGGCCAAATGAACCTGGCAAAGTCATCTAACAATCACAACTGTATTTTGTGCAAGCTTTTTCATTTTTGGACAAAGTCCAAGTCAATATTGTGAACCGGCTTAAACTTGGGCAGGGCCAAATTTTGTTTGAATTGTAGCAAGTCAATTCTGGAGAATCATATACAGTGGTTTCAGCAACCCCCCCCCCCCCCCCAAACAATAAAAGGAAGTACTAAAGGACCCTATCCTATTTCCTGTGTTAACATGAAGTTTGGATGTCCACATACACAAAATGTCCATATCTGACGTTAAATTTCATTGGAATTACTCTCTCTGTCCCAAAATATAAGCATTTTTAGCATGGTGACAAGTCAAACATTTTCAACTTTGACTATTAATAGCAAAAAAAAAGATCAATCATGTCAAATTTATGTTACTAGATTTATTATTAAACAAACTATCATAATATGTAACTCTTTTTATTTAAAACATCTTCCTTTTATAGATATTGCTGGTCAAAGTAGCATCTCGGAGACCGTGTCAGAGTTCAAAAGTTCTTATATTTTGGGACGGAGGGAGTAGCAAATTTTCATGCTCATTACCAATTAGAAAAATGTGGTATCAAACTGAAAGGCTACCAATTTCAGTTGGCATTACTAATATTGACTTGGTTCACAGTGTTATCACAGCAAATACTCAAGCAAGCTCTTTTCAATACAACAACTGAATGCTATAAGAAAGTCAAATGAAAAGAAACCATAGGACCAGATTAAGGTCCACAAGTTTTAAAAACTATACAATCGAAGGATGACAAGGTTAAGCATGACGTGAAAAGGGATAACATATAAATTTCAGATAAAGCTAATACTCATCAGGAACCTTTCGGTTTTGGAACAAGGTGAGGACTCCAGATGTAACCATGAGGAATGTCATTCCCAGAACCCTGTGCACCACTTAGGTATGTTACCGGACGCAACTTCAGCTTCTTCTTCCTAAATTCATTTATCATATCTCGGATACCAAGCCAAATCATAGAGTCAACAATTTGATAAGAAAGCTGCAAGTGTAAACCATTTGAAGATTAGATAACAAATCAGATCAGAAGAAAATGAGTGATTTGAGAATGAATCTTTCAACAAGTGCTTGATGTGAGTTAGGGAGATGATCTCTAACTTTGACATGTGGTGCATGGTTGTTTTTAGGGAATGCAGCAAAATTGCATCCTATTTAATTACAAGAATTACTATAAATTGGATCAAGGTCCCTTGCAACCTAAAGAGCACTCCCAAGAACACCAGCCACACTGAATGAAGCCAGAAACTAACTCTCTGCATACAGTAACTCACTTGAGTTTACCACCCAAATCAGTCTAACAACAAACGAGCACAAGCAGGCAGGCCAAAATTGTCAGAGTTGGGATCCTATCCCAGAGATGCACAACAATGCAAACAAAGTAAGCACAACAAAACCTATTGTCTGATTGCCATTTACAAAATAACAGTTCAAGCCATTTCAAATATCTCTACTATTATAAAAATTGAAGATGTTTCCACCGGAATTTTGGTACGTATCCAATTCGACATGAGTCTAAAATAACTATTGTAGACCCCCCCCCCCCCGGCCCAGCCCAACCCAAGGTCCCAAGCCTTTTTTTCTCTTTTTTTTTTCTTCTTTGCCTTTTCTTCTCTCCTGATCATCCTGATTTCTCCCTCTCCTTCCAATCTCTGTTTTCTGATAAACTTTAGCTCAATATTTTAGAAAACTGCAACATTAGTGCACAATTTTATCAGAAAACTGCAACTCCATCCCCATTTGTGTCCAATAGGTTGGCCCAATCTGTAAAGGCCCTATTGCATGTTGCTAACAGAATGTCGGTTCTCTAATAAAACCTACACTTTTTGCAGTTCCTTGAAATGCCCAGCTAAAGTTGAAGATAGTTTTGACAGAATAGTTGCACTTTCTGAAATTTACTCTGGCATTAACAAATGTAATAATGAATAGTTCAGAAACATCCGTGGGCAAGAACATGTTAAGGACAACCTATTATTACACATATGCACAAGCGTGCACATGGCTATGGCCAGCAGACTAGCCATCTGGACACCAAACAAATTACAGCCAGGTGTTCTGCATCTTAATCTATCTGTTGGCACATTGTTCAGTTGGATAAGGTCTTTGCTTAATTATGGGTTAGTCACCTACTTAAGAAGGCAGCCAGATATAGTAATCGAACGCAAGAAAGAACAAATAAAATCTAATCTCATCTAAGTGTTCGTCATATATAATGTTCTCTCATCACAAGCAGCTGACACTGCCAGCTATCCTCCCTGCAGTGTCTGCCGCATTTAATAGTATAAGGATCATTATGTATTGATTAAAAGAGAATGTAAGCTCCCGGCAACCTTTTTTGTAGTATTTCTTTCAGTTCATCAATTAGCATACTGACTAAGAAATGGGAAATCGAAGATCAATCCTTGCCTGCCATTTTCTAACATATGATTAACGCTATGCTTAGTTGCTTACTCCAAAAAGAAGTATTCCTGAGGCCTATGCCATAAAACCAACTGCAGTTTTCAATAAGCCTAAGTGTCACAAAATATGATAGTTAATCAATTAGACGCGGTTGATGAAAAATGGGAAATGTCTAAAGCCCTTAGAATGCTGCTTCTATTCTTCCATGTCCCAAATCAGAAATACCCCTCTAAATCAACTATAAGGTTCAAGGATTAAAGATCTACTGACCTTGAAAATATTGAACTTAAACTATAAATGCGAAAATGTATAACAGCAAACAGCAGAGTGTTTTCTTTCTTATGTTCTTAGAATATATTTCCATAGATACTCATATCTCTTTTTGTTCTTTCATGAGGCTTAGAAAGGGCATTCCCAGACAAATCATTCAAGTATGTGTTGTTTATCCTTTCTGTGAAATTTACAATGATCCAGAATGGCCTACACCACAGTATTAGTTTGTAGTATGTGCCAATGCTGTGGGTTTGGTTCAAATTAAGAGATGGTTATGGGCTCAAACCTATAATTAAGCTACCCACCAAAAAAGGCATAGAGTAAGCTAACCACCACAATATAAGCACTAATGATTCTGTTTTTTCTACTGTTAATGAAGCAAAACCACATATCTAGCCTAATGGCAATTGCATTTAAACTGTCTAAGTTTGCTGCCAAAAACAAAATCAGGTTTAGCTAACACAGCTGGGTTATGCCGGTAGGGTTAATTTAATCATTGAGCAACTATAACAAATGTGTCTAAGAGAAGAAGTTTAAAATATTTCCTGAATAAATATGTAAGATGCAAACTCACTCGATATCCAGCCGCTTGTTTCACACGAGAAAGAGGATGGGGGAATTCACTAGTTGGCCTGAACAAGCAGCACAAGTTAGATCTCCAAATGAGAATATTCCTCAGCAAATGTGCTCTTCAAAGAGGAAGCAGAACAATAGTGACTCACGTCCATGGCATGGTAAAGAATATATGAATAGGTACTTTTAGTGCCTCTGCCACATGAGTATGTCCTGAATAATCGTTAAGGTCAGCAGCAAAGAAACATTTATAAATTTTCATAGAAGTGAATTGCAATTGGCTACTGGACCATAAAATACAAAACATGCAAAAAAATTCACACTAGAGCACCTTGTAAACACATCATTGCCTAATCATTTGAGCTGGAAATGACTATGATTGGTTCCAAAGTGATAAACACAGAAAAATCCTGAAAAGAGATGCCTCCAGAAAGATTGGCGAAACAGAAAGAGCTTTTAAAGATGTCAACTTCCCAAGTATATTACTAGGTCAGTCTGCCTATTAATTGCACACCAAAGAAAAGCACCACCATCATAAGGCATGAATCAAGAAATGATTGTTCTGAAATGGATGCCTCAAATCAGAAAAATAAACCAAATTGAAGCAGTAAGAAAGAATTGTACATGAGCAAACTTATAAAAATTTAAGATCTTTTCGTTTTAAAAAATATATGATCTTGACTGGACCATAAAATATGATGACGCTGATCCCGTTGGATCCTAACGTGCATAGGATCTTTTCAATTCTGACGACCATGCAAATTAGTAACTTATAACATATAACCTTCACAGTAACAATTTTCACAGTGCAATACTAAGACTCCAAGCATGTCAGGACAAAAAAAAAATCCTGCCTTGGATCCTGATCCTCACAACCTTGTATATGAGTATGTCAGAAATTGGTGTTTTTTAGAGTAGTAGGTACTTAGTTGAGCATATAATAAACAAACTTGGAGTTACACTTGTAAGGTAGAGAGAAAGTAAAGCAAAGCGCAAGAAATCAATCCAAAGCTGGTAAGATATACTGACCATATGCTGGAGGGTTAGCAATGATAGCATCCACTTTGAAAGGAATACCAGTGTCAGGATCAGGCTCCTTGCACGCAGGTAGCAAAGAGAATATAATTTCTTTCATCTGTTTCCTCTGAATAGGAATTTCTGAAGGACCAGAAGGCAAGAATCCTTTATTCTTCACCATGTCTGCTCAAATATGAATATACCAAATATATTAATCATCGTGACGTAGAAACTGAAAAAAAATCAACTATGTGAATACAAGGATTTATTTTCATACATTCAGCAAGTATTTTTGGATCACCGCCAAGAGGGAAAAACTCCAGACCAGCCGTTAGAACGAACTCCTTAAAGTTTGCATGGGTTGCCAATCTCACACGGTGTCCATAATCCTAAAAAAAACAGGTAATGGATAATCCTAGTCATACAGAAACCATGTATTTAGAAACATTAAGCTTGAGAAGCAAAATAGTTCACCTGATGAGAGATAAAATAATGTGAAATTAACAAACAATGGTAGCTTTTGATCTAACCTGTAAGCGTTTGCCTATAGCAATGAATGGCTGAACATCACCTCTTGTGCCCACAATAAGAATAACAATATCCATAGGAGGCCTCACAGATATGTCTGCTCCATCCAATGGTTCCTCAACAGTAACATCACTATAGCCATCATATGCTACACCATCAGTTGTACTTGTTTCCAGAGAACTTGGCACATCAACCACCACAGTTCCATCATCTTTCACTGTAGCTATCCGATTTAGCATTTCGAGCTACAATAAAATGTAAAATATCACAAAAAACTGTTGAACAACATCAAGCATCCAGATACAAAAGAGTACATCTGGCACTGAGTTCCTGACTATTCGAAGCTACCATGCAGTGTATCACAATACACAATTGTTGTGAAAAAAAGGCTGAATTGGCTGCATAATAATCTGAATAATCAACTATTTTTCAATCAGTTGGAATGTTTCTCAAGTTTAATCGTAAAATAGACTTTACTCCCTAATTACAGTGAACTAATCTCTGATCTCATGTAGTAGTGTTTGCTTTGGAGATGAAGCAGTGAAGCACAAAATACAACATGTCAAGCTTAGCAAGTGCTGTTTTTAAGTGGTTATAACATGTCATAATTTTCATGTTTTAATTGACTTTAGTTATAAATAAATAAATTAGTAGAGCATAACTATCAAAATTCTGATTAATCAGCAGTATCACACATAATCGTTTAACAGATATAGCTATCTTAGCCCTCACCTCTGCAACAGGCTCCTAGCCCTTTTTCACAATGCTGCATTATACTAAAATGTATCAAATTCAGATATAGCTATCTTGTCCGCGCTCAGAAGATAAGGCTAACAGTTCACGTGACTGTTCAAAATGGCTTCTCTTATATGAACATATACATGCTCCAAATTTCAAAGGTCAAATGCATGAAGAAAAGGAAGCTACAAGGGTAAATAGATGAAACAGGGTGCATTGCAAATGAAGGAAAGGCAAGACATAGGCAACAGGACTATGTTATCCGCACCTTCTTTTTTAGGGAAATTTTATCATCAAATAACTGTTTAGTAGGATCATCAGCTGGATTGTTTTGTCGACGCCTCTCTGTTCTTGATCTTTCCAGATTAGATGGACCAGCAGTTTCATTGGTTATTTCAACATTATTAATCCCACCTGGCATAGTGCTTGATCTGGGGAGGCCCCTGTCATCTACAAAAACATAATGATGGTTTGAAAAATATGGATGACAACATTCCTTTTATTTTACACTATCATAACTTACTGAACAAAGTGAGATTAAAATGTATCAACAAAAGATATATTTGCACTATGATTTGAGGTTTGCTGCAGTAAATTATCCTTTAAAAAATGATACAACTATAAACACCACTGCATAATCCTATTGAACACAACTCACAAGCCACATGGTACAACTAAGCCTAGCAGTGTTACCCTGAGTAGTGAGTAGAGCATACTTTCACACTGTGCAATGGACCTACAATATTGTGTAATAACCAGAGCTGAAGAGCACAACCTGCTTGACAGTGTAAACAAAATTACAATAAGTTTAGTTCATTGGGGTTTCGATGTAATCTAACCCTCCAAAACGGCTTCGTTTTGTGAAGAGATTTGAGAAAACCATTATTCAGAAAGGTAAAATCTAGGAGAAGGCAGGCCATCACCCACTAGTCGTGGAGTCAACGCCTAAAATTAGCACTCAACACAGCACCAAACCCCCACACCAAACCCTCACACGCAGCATTCCCAGCAACCAGCGTGACACAGACAGTGAAGCAGCCATCAGAGTGTCCACCAACAAGGCGAAGGTGCGCTCGCAACTAGCAGCCATCCACATGAGCGGAGATGGCAGAAGCCGCCGCAGATTTGGGGGGGCGAAGCTGAACTAGGGAAGGCAAAGCAACCGCCACCAATCCCAACACCCTAGGTTGCCTCTCGCAGCAAAGCTACACGAACGAAGACGAAAGGAGAGAGGCAGGCGGGGTGTGGGGGGTACGGATGGATGGATCACCAGCGGGGGAAGACGACGAGGCCGCGGCCGCGGCGGAGGCGGAGGCGGTGGCGGTGGCGGGGTTGTCGCCGCCGTTGGCGCTGGCTCCTCCTCCTCCTTCCTCCACGCCCTTGGCCTCCTCGGCGGCGGAGGCCATTTGTAGCCGCTCTCTCTCACACACGCGGATGTAGGCGGGCGCGGTGGAACTCCGGCGCCGCCCCCGCCGCCGCCGCCGTGGAGCACCGACGCCGAGGCAAAAAGCGAAGATGCGTCTCTGAAATCGAATGCCTTTGCTTTGCTGTGTTGCTACGTGCGTGCTCTGCTGTGATCTCTTCTCCTTCTTTTTTCTTTTCTTTTCTTTTTCATTTTTTTAGAGTAATTTTTTCTTTGGGTCACCTTTTATTACCGGTTGTCGAGGAGTGATCCTCTCCAGCGGGAGATCATGAGATCCCCTTTTGTGAGTTCGGCCGAGGGAAAAGGCTCGCTTTTCGAGATTGCGTATCCGCCCTGAATGCTGCTAATCGCGTATGGGCGATAAGATTATACAGGTTCGGGCCGCTATCGAGCGTAATACCCTACTCCTGTGTGTGAGATTATGGTCGAGTGTTACAAGGGTTCCAAAACTCCGGAGAGCACTCTCGCTCTTCTTTCCCTAGAGTTCAGGCCTACTGAGTGGCGTTCCCCTTCCCGGTGGACAAGGTCCTCCTTTTATAGTTCAAGGGGATACCACATGCACCGCTTCTACCTACTCTTTCTACGGGAGGGGGACCCACTCTACCTTGACCGGACCGCGATTCGTGCCTTCGCCCGGAAGCTAAAAAGCGGTCCGCCCTTCAGTGTCACCCGGTGCCGCCCCCCACCTGACACGGGGGACAGCCCTGTCACTCACTCTTAAATGGGCGGAGACTTGTGGCTGCCCTCCTTACGGGGAGAGAACTCCGGATGATGCTCCGATGTGACAGGACATACCTACCTCCACTCCGCCGGATACAGAGGCGACGTGGGGGCACGGCCGCCTGTCCAGTCAGATGTGACCGACGACAGGCCGGTCACAGACTGGTCAGACCCGACTGACGTGCATCAGTCGGGCGGCACCGCATGTCTGCCCTTACCGCATTAAATGCGGTGAGGGGCAGTTGGGGCGCCGCGCGCATTGATAGCGGCTTGGCTTGGGTCTCCTCCCCGCTCGCTCCCCCCGCCACATGGCAGTTGGGCGAGGGCCTCAGGGCGAGTCAGCGCGGGGGCCCGAGGGGCGTGATGTGGCACCCCGAGGCCCCCTGGCTGCCCCTGCGTCTCCCGAGGCGCGGGGGGAGGGCCAAACTGTAGAGTCACGTGGCTGGATGGGAAGGTAACTTCCCCTCACTTTGCATACCCCCGGGCCCATATCTCCGACAGTAGCCCCCGGCACCACGTCGGACATTGGTCCCCTGAGGGCAGTCTGACGTGGCGCCTCACGACTTACCGTGCCGAGGTTGTGGGCCCGACGAGGACTCCAGACGGTTGCCGGCGGCAACCAGGATGGCACATTAGCCAAAATGGCGATTTGACCGCCACTGACCACGCTGATGATGGGGGCACTTAGGGCGCGAAAATCGGGGGTTTGGTCAGACCATGCCCAGAATCGCTATTTACGCCGCCTCGACTCCCCCGCCTGTCAAGCATGCGATGGGACCAATGGCGGGCCCGCCTAACCGTGCCTGTGAGCATCGCACGCCCCACGCCGAGTGTGCCGCTGACAAGCGCACTAAACGCGGGACGCGGGCTCCGCGGGGCAACGTGATGAGTGGGCGCGAGATTTGAGGAGGCAACCGCAGGCGCAGGAATCGAGGGGGCAACCGTAGGGGTGTGAAACGAGGAGGCGAGTGCGGGCGAGGGGTGGATAAAAGGAAGGGGAGGCGGAGAGTTCGTCCCCTTTCTCTCGCCAACTGCATACTCGCATACTCGCTCCTAAAGCCCTAGCGCTCCTCTCGCTCCACCCTGCTCCATACACCAAGCTCCTCGCCGTTTTCCCGCCGGCCATCATGGCCCAAGACGCTGGTGACGCCGTCCTTCCGGCATTGCGCATCACGGCGGAGAGGCACCTTAGCCTCATCCGCAAGATCATGCCGGAGGATGCCGCCGTGAGGGTGGGGGAGTCGCGGCTGCGGCCGCGGTACCCCGACGATCCGTGCACCTCCTGTCCTTCGCCATGGTGGGGTTGATCCCACCATTTTCCAGGTTCTTCCATGAGGTTTTGGATTTCTACGAAATTCACGCCTTCCACCTCGCGCCCAACGTCGTGATGACTCTGGCCATCTTAGCGCACTTGTGCGAGATGTTCATCGGGGTGCGGCCGACGATGCGGCAGTTCCTGTCCTTCTTCGTCCCATGGCTGCTGCAAGGCGCGGTGGTGGGGGGATGCTGCTTCCAGCCCCGGCCGGGCACGGCGGGGCAATACATTGAGAGTCACCTATGCAAGAAGTGGGAGGATTGGAAGAAGGATTGGTTCTACACCGCGCTGCCGGACCATCCACGACTTCGGCTCCCCGCCGGCCCTCCCGAACGATCCGCCACGTGGTTGGTAGTTTCGGAACTAGGCGAGGAGTACGACGCAGTGCGGGATCGCCTCAGGGGCCTGCGAAGCCAGGGCCTAACGGGGGCGATGGTGTTCGGTGACTACTTCCGTCGTCGCATCGCGCCTCTCCAGGAGCGGTCTCGCGGCGCGTGGGAGTACACTAGGTACAACGATCCCATGCGCACCCATGTGGGTGAGCACTGGGACTGGGCGAGGAGGACGCGAAGACGGTGATCCGGCGGGTGCTGGGCCTGGACACTGTCGAGCAAACGCTGACTCCGGACGGGATCCTCCCCTTATGCAGCTTCCGCGACCGGGAGAGTATCCTGGCTGTGATGTCGGCCGTCGGCGCCGGCAGGGGTCGGTCCCGTCGGGGCGGCGCCGGTGGCGGCGCCGTCGGCGCGGGTAGCAGCAGCGCGTCCGCAGGCGGCAGCCGAACCGGCAACTCCGGCGGGGACGGCGACTTCAGGGCACCTGGTCCGAGCCGTGGGCCCGGGGGAGATTCGGCCGGTGATCCGAAAGGGAAACGGAAGATGTTCGAATCTCGGCCACCCTCTCCCCCGCGCGGAGGGGGCGCTGAGCGAGTGGCGGACAGACCGCCGGCGGGCCACAAGCGCCCCGCCGCGTCCGAGGCTGGAAGGAAGAAGAAGCGGCTCCGGAAGATAGGGCAAACGGAGCCGTGCCGGGGGAGTTTCATCGAGCCCCCGAAGTGGACCTTCAAACGCCCCCCCTCGCAGGTACGATCGCCAACATCCGACTCGGTGCTCTCTATCCATCTCGGGCTCCTGTTCCTTCCTCTTTCTGTTTTTTTTCTTAACGTGATCGGGGTCCTCCTGTAGTGGGATTCCTTCCTAGGGGGTCTCGGCGACCGATCCCTCGCAGGGGTCAAAATCTGAGCGACCAGATCGAGAGGGGCCCGGCCGACCCAGTGCCACGGGGCCTTCGCAGTACCCTGGCGGGGCCCACAGGACACATGCCGGGTTTGGCTCTGAGTCTGCCACAGCCGAGGTGCACCCATTCGCGGGCGATGGCAGTGGTGGCGGCGTCCCCCCCAGGGCCGATCCCGAGGGTGCGACCTACGAGGAGCGCCACTCGGGGGCGGAGGCCGAAGCGATCGCGGCCCGGAGGCCGAGGTGGAACGCGCTCCGGGGGCCGAGGCAGGGCGTGACCCGGAGGCCGAGGCCGGGGGCGGGCCCGAACCCGAGGTCGAGGTCGAGGCCGAGTCTGCCCGAGGGCCCGAGGCGGGGGTGACGGGGGCAACTGTTCCCCTCTGCATCTGGGGCGCCCTCGGGGCTGGCCGCGCGGAAGGGGGGCTGAGAGCAGCCCCCAGTCCCGCGGGGGGTCCAGCAGCACTCTGTCATCTCGGGGGCGGACCGTGACTTTTTCTTCCCTGACTCCCGCGAGCATAGAGCCACTCCTGTAGGTGCTCGCCGCCGCCGACTCCATCGTCTGGGAGGGGCTCAATGCCCAAGTTCAAGCCCTGGCGGACGAGCGGGCGGCCCTAGAGGCGGAGTGGGCGCAGCTCGCGGCGGACCGCGCACGGGTTGACGAGGGGCGCCGCGCCGTGGACGACATGGTGGAGGTGGGGCACAAAATGCGCCAAGCCCAACCGGCGGAGATCCAGGCGCGTGAAGAGACGCTGGACTCGGTCATGCGGGAGACGGAGGAGGAGCGGCAGGCGGCGCTCATCGCCTCGAGCGTCTTGGATGAGGCGCTGGGCGACATCCGTTTGCAGTACGAGACCCACGCCGAGGATCTGGCGAAGAGAGTCGAAGACACCCGCGGAGTCCTCGACGCTGCTGCCGCCCAAGAGCGGCGGGCGTCGGAGGTCGACGCCTCGCTGCGGGCTCAGTCGGCGGCGCTCGAGGCCGAGCGCAAGGTCTTAGACGAGCGTGCCCGCTCCGCGCAAGAGTTCGAGGCCACGATCCATCGACGAATTGAGGTCCTTGACCGTAACCAGCGCGAGCAGGACGAGCGCAGCTGGAAACAGGCGCAGCAAGCCCGGGAGCTTGAGGAGCACGCTCGGGCACTGGAGGAGCATACCCGGGCACTAGAAGAGCGGGCGCGCATGCTAGACCAGTGCGAGACCACTTTGGCCGCCCACGAGAGAACGGCGGCCGAGGCAGAGTCCTCCCTTCGCCTCCGTGAGGAGGCCGCAGCCGAGCGCAACCGGACCACCCTTGCCGTAGAGGCTTCGGTGGCCCATCGCGCGGAGGAGCTGCGGCTTCGAGAGGAGGCATGCCAGGAACGGGACGCCACGCTTGCCGTACGCGAGGCCGAGGAGAACCGCCGTGGGGTGGCGGCGCGCTGGCTGGGTGAGCAACTCGCGAAGCGCGAGGAGGCCGTTACCGGGCACGAGGCCCGGCATCTAGAAAGTGCCCGCGCTGAGCGCGAGGCAATGGCAACGAGGTCTTCCGAGCTGGAGGCCCAGGAGAAGGAGCTAGAGGTAGGCGGGCAACTCGCTGGCGCGGAGTTGGTGAGCCAGCTCACCGCGGCTCAAAGCACTCTCGCCGACCTGGGGCGCCTGGTGCAGGACCAAGTCGGGGAGATCACAGCCCTTCGCCTCACCAACGAGATTGGACCTGGCCAACTCTCCGACGCCGTCGACCGGCTGGGGCGCGCGGGGCGCCGAATAGGCATCTCCGTGCGCCAGGACAGGAAACTCCCGCCCACACAGCCGGCAGTCGTGCTCCGGCTGGATGGGATGGCGGCGGATTTGGAGAGGCTAGAGGAGGAGGTCGGCGAAACCGTGAAGTCGTCGTCAGCTTTGGCGCAGGCTATGGTGGAGCTGGTCCTCGCAAGTCAT